TCTTGGCAGATGGTAATATGTTTGCGATTTTTCTGTCGGTGTTGAAGACAGTCTCTATTTTGTGTTTTCTCAGGACCCTGCTTATCTTCTCTGTTGTGCCTTTAATATACGGTAGAGTGGTTTTGGCAATCGGTTTTTCGTCTTCTTTTATTTCTTTTGTTGTTTTTTGTGGTCTTCGTGCCTTTTCGATTCTGTGTGTGGAAAAGCCGTTGTTTTTTAACGCTTTTGTAACTTTCTGCATTTCTTCTTTCTTGTGTTCTTCCACAATAGACCAATATATAATGTGTTCTTCCACAATAAACCAATATACCATCCGACACGGCCGAGACTATACGCCAAGACGTGTCACGCATATTACGAACAGCTAAACCGCCAAAACGAAACTTAACACACATATATATATATATATATATATATATATATATATATATATATATATATATATATATTTATATAAGAGTAAGAAAAAAGAAGTACTTGTGACTCGTTTGGAAAAAATATAACACTGTTTTTGATGGGTTGGAGTCAATAAAAGGGGCTATTTGTTGACTATTTTTTACTCGAGCTTTCAATTGTGATTACAATTTTTATCAAGAGCTTCTAAAAAATACAAAATGTCTTACAAAGTTGAACTAGAAATAAAAAAATTTTTTGTTAACTCACCAAATAAAATTAGTTTTCTATACAAAACTACTGCTTACATATTAAATACAAAAAATATTATTTTTTTATATAAATTTTTTTTTTTTATTTTTTTTTTATTAATATTTTTTGTATTTAATATGTAAGCAGTAGTTTTGTATAGAAAACTAATTTTATTTGGTGAGTTAACAAAAAATTTTTTATTTCTAGTTCAACTTTGTAAGACATTTTGTATTTTTTTAGAAGCTCTTGATAAAAATTGTAATCACAATTGAAAGCTCGAGTAAAAAATAGTCAACAAATAGCCCCTTTATTGACTCCAACCCATCAAAAACAGTGTATATATATATATATATATATATATATATATATATATATATATATATGTATATATATATATATATATATATATATATATATATATATATATATATATATATATATATATATATATATATATATATATATATATATATATATATATATATATATATAACTTGCAAGGCGACGAAGGACCAGAAATAACTAAAGAAGAACTATTATACGCTATAAAAATAATGAAAAATGGTAAATCACCGGGTCCAGACGGGCTCACATCAGAACTTCTTAAGCTTGTGGAAGCGAATCAGTGAATATTCTACTCGACCTTTTTAACTGCATCTACAAAAGAGGAGAAATACCAAAGGAATGGCTACTTTCAACTTTTGTAACCTTACCAAAAAAGGCAAATGCAAAACAGTGCACTGACTACCGCACTATAAGCTTAATGGGGCATACATTAAAAGTATTCATCAAAGTAATCCAAGTAATCCACTCAAGAATTAACAGAAAACTAGATGCAGATATTAGTAATACTCAATTCGGATTTCGGAACGGGCTTGGAACAAGAGAAGCACTATTTGCACTTAACGTCATATGCCAAAGATGTCTAGATATAAACCAAGATATATATATATATATATATATATATATATATATATATATATATATATATATATATATATATATATATATGTGCTTTTTTGATTACAACAAAGCGTTTGATAAAGTTCGTCACGACCACTTAATAAAACTGCTAGTAGAAAAAAACTTGGATAAAAGGGACATTAGAATTATCTCTAAGATTTACTATAACCAGAAAGCAAATATCCGAATAGAGCAAGAGACAACGGAGGAAATCGAGATCAAGAAAGGGGTAAGACAGGGTTGTATACTCTCACCGACCTTATTCAATCTATACTCCGAAGACATTATAAACACAGCACTTTCGGATCAAAATATAGGTATTAAGATAAATGGCATCCGAATAAACAACTTGAGATATGCCGATGACACGGTACTAATCGCAGAAACTTGGGAAGATCTTCAAATACTAATTAACAAAATAGTAGAATGCAGTGAAGAACACGGATTATCACTTAACATAAGCAAAACAAAAATAATGCTAATATCTAAATCACCACAAAACTTCCCTGACATAACCGTGCATGATCAAAGAATCGAACGTGTAAGAAGATATAATTACCTGGGAACTGTTATCAACGAAAATAATGATTGCTCTGAAGAAATCAGAACCAGAATAGAGAAAGCTAGAGCCACATTTACTAAATTGAAAAAGGTGTTCTGCGGAAGAGATCTAAGTCTAAAACTTAAAATTCGCCTTTTGGGATGTTACGTTATGTCAGTTCTCCTTTACGGGATGGAAACATGGACATTGAAAAAGATCGATACCAAAAAGATAGAAGCATTTGAGTTGTGGATGTATCGTAGAATATTAAGAATACCCTGGACAGAGAAAGTAACAAATGTGGAGGTTTTGCGGAGAGTGCGGAAAGAGAAAGAGCTGATACTTACTGTTAAAAAGCGCAAACTACAATATTTGGGACATGTTATGAGGGGAGATAAATACCAGTTGCTGCAATTGATTATACAGGGAAAGATAATGGGAAAGAGATCTATAGGAAGAAGAAGGCATTCATGGTTGAAAAACTTGAGAGAATGGTACAATTGCACCAATTACCAACTGTTTAGATCTGCAGCATCAAAAATACGCATAGCTTTGATGATAGCCAAACTTCGGAACGAAGACGGCACTTGAAGAAGAAGATATATATATATATATATATATATATATATATATATATATATATATATATATATATATATATATATATATATATATATATTGCACATATGCCTTGGTCTCTGGTCGAATTTTTTGTTTGATAACTGCTTCCAGAGTACTGTGCAGCAAATTGAAACGAGAATACGCGAAGAACACGTGTGTGTTTCGCATCTTCACTGAGCCCGAGGCAGAATGGGCTTTCTGGAGAATCGTCATGTTTAAAGCGATAAATATATGCTTGAAAACAAAAATTTTCTGAGAGCATCTATATCAGATAGTAGTAGACCACTCGATGTTTACGGTTCAGCCAAACATTTATCTGCGGTATAAGGTCCACCTGCCCGTCCTCTTCTTCTAAGTTAATCTCGGCACAATGTATTCTATGTTAATGTCTTTCTTTCCTCAGCTAGCGCTCCAATGGATAGCATTCCAGCTATCACATACATGGCATCCTCAGATACTGTGCTAAATGCGCTGGCAACTCGTAAAGCGCTCAGACAATATATTGATGCGACCTTGGTGTATGTGATTCAAGAGTGCCAGCCCAAATCGATATTCCGTATATTAATACTGACGTTTTGGGCCACCTATATTCGGCATTAGCTGCAACAGAGCTACTAATACTATTGACGGTTTAGCACTACGATAATGAGTCTGGCATTAATCATCACTCCCAAGTACTGAAGGAATGGTTGTGATGTGATTTCATGTTTTCCAATGCTCAGTGTTACGGTTTCCATCTCTGTTTCCGACTAATAATAAGCACTGCCGTCGTTTTGTGCTTCGCTAGTTTTAAATTAGCTGTGTTCATCCACTGGCAGATTCCATCCACAGAAATTGTGTGGACGTGAAACCGTGTGCGACCGCTAAATTGTTTTCGCGATATGTTTACGGCGCAAAATGATGTGGGCAAAAAATGGTATATGCTCAAAATGCTGTGGGCACAAAATGACATAGTCGCGAAATGGTGTGGTCTCGAAATGGTGTAGGCGCGAAATCGTGTGGTCAAAAAATGGTGTGGGCGCAAAGGGGTGGGAGCGAAACGGTGTGGGCAAAAAATGGTGTATGCGCAAAATTGTGCGGGGGCGCAAAATGATGTGGGCACAAAATGACTTAGTCGCGAAATGTTGTGGCCTCGGAATGGTTTGGGAAAAATGTTGTAGGATCAAAATTGTGTGGGCGCGAAACAATGTGAACAAAAACTTCAAGGGGCTCAAAATTGTGTGGGGGCGATATGGTGTGACGCTAAATGGCGTAGGCACGTAATGGTGTATGCGCAAAATTGTGGGGGCGCGAAATGGTTAGGACACAAAATGACTTGATCGCGAAATGGAGTGGTTTAGAAATGGTGTGCACGAAAAATGTGTGGGCGCAAAATTGTGTGGGCACGTAATGGTGCGTGCTCGAAATGCTGTGAGGGTAAAATGGTGTGGGCGCAAAACTGAGTTGGCGCCAAATGGTGCGGGCGCGAAATGGAGTGGACGCGTAATGGTGTGGGCGTGAAATGGTGTGGGCGTAAAAGGGTGTTTGAGCAAAATGATATGAGCGCGAAATGGTGAGGGCACGGAATGATATGGGTGCAAAATGGCGCCCTCAATAGAGGCCATTAATCCCTTACATCTTGTTTATTAAGAAGCCGTTGAGTACAAGTAAACGGTTTTTCCCATGATATTTGCTAAAAAACTATTTCTTATACAAACCTTAATTCTAATACTATCGTAAATTTTACATTTTACCCATATAAGTCCATATCACTTTTAACACATACAACAATGTGTTACATCAGTGATTAAATATATATCACACATGTATTTACAATCTACATGTAGAAATGACAAATTGTTATAATCTGTTGTTATTCTTCTTTTTCTCAGGGTCTATTTTAATTTTGCTACATTTTTGGATTATATTTCAGTATTCAATATTTGGAATAATTCCCAAAACAGTTAAGAACTGGACAAGAAATAATACGTAGATAAAACTTATAAGATAATAGGCACACTTATTGTTTTATTGATGAGAAATCTGAGTAACAACGCAAAAACCAAGAATCTAGAATAAAAGCTGCGAAAAGAGATTTCTCAGAAGAGCGAAAGATAATAAAAAAGTCTTTATAAATAGAAGCGAAGCGAAGTTTGTAGCCACAACTGTCTAAAACTAATAGTTTGCTTACCTAAAATGTTCATTCCACAGTTCAATTTATACAAAGTTTCTTCCTCTACGTTAATCTGACTTAACAACCAAGGCCAATCAAAATTCACATAGCTTTCAAAATCTTTTTCATCCGCTACGCTTTGTTTCGCCAGTTGTTTGAGCCTTATTTGTTCGGGAACTACAGATTTTTCGTCCACAAGAGCCACCGCTGAAACAGCAGGATCTTCTAAGGAGAATCCTGAAACGATTAGCTTATTCCATTGGTCAAGAACTCGTCTTTGAGGAGGTTCTTCGAAGTATGATTGAAACTCTGAGTATTTTATTGTCATATCGCACAACGCTTTAACAGTATCTCTGCATATTTTCTGCTTCTTTTCTTCCTTCACGCGTTGCACTTCTCTATACAGAACCCTATGCAACTGATTAAGTCTTTCTTTTTCTAAGTAATACTCAAACTTCTTTCTATCTATAGTGTCGTCTTTTTCCATTAATTTCTCAATCAATAACGCTTCGTTTTCTTTCATAATTTCGTCTACTATTATCTGTTTACCCCTTAACATGTGTTCTTCTTGTTGAGCTATGTCCTCCATTTTTTTCAACATTTGCGTTTCATACAATGATTGTTTTAGAATCTTCGATGAAAGATGTGTCTCGAAATCTTGGTTTTCTTCGTTTAACAGTCTGTTCCAGAAAACTTTTCTAGTGTATTCTTCCATATCTTTTCGAAATATCTCAGCGTCGGCTTTGTGTTTGGATTTATCCTTGATTTTTTGAGTAATCTCTTTTGCTTGCATGATATTTGGTTTAAAGGTATGTGTCCTGAAAAGTTAACCAAACAATAAGAAGGTCTACTCAATATTTTAAAAAAGATATATTAAATGAAATTAATCTTTTTATTGGTTCGATAACACTAAAGTTAGGATTGATACAATGTAAACTGTCAATTGTATTCACTTTTGGAACAAAGTAAAGTCAGTCTTAACAAACTGTATACTCAAGTGGTTCGTTTCATTTATAAGTTTTAACAGGTTATGGTGGCCCAGACCATTTTTTTCGTCGGTAAATAGATAGTTTTATACTATAATCGGTTCACAATTTGTCGATAGCTCACTTACAAGTTTAACCCTAATTAGAGAACTGAAATACAGAGAGGATAGGTAATACGATATAATAGTAAAAACCAACCTGAAACTGACGGTTTAAGATGTTTTCGACTAATCCACCTTGTATCTGAAGGAATACAATACAGCAGTCAACATTATAATTCGATTACCAATTATAATGTTGACCTATTACTGTTAACCAAAATAAGTTACAGATGACCTACCAGTGTCGTAGAGTATATATGATTGAAACATTTATTTGAACTAAATATATATATATATATATATATATATATATATATATATATATATATATATTTTAATTGTACTTATGTAAATTGTATTTTTGTTTTAATAAAACTTCTTTATTTTATTCAAAAATAAAAAGTTTCTTGCCATTTGTAAAAGATACATTTATTTAATTAAGGGGAAAGGCGCCAAATGTCGCCTGGCAAAATTTTCAATGTGTTTTAAATGTATCCATTATTTTGGAATCCTGAGAAAACTAATCAATATTTTTGAACAATTTAAACGCAGAATAAAATATTACATTATTACTGAGGGCAGAAAGTCCTTGAAAACTTCTACAATATTGGATACATTTAAAACACATTGAACATTTTGACAGGCGACATTTTGCGCCTTTCCCCTTTAATACATTACGATTACAACTACTATTACTTACCTTATATAATTACCATTAGAAAACTATTCAAATTCAAAATAAATAGGATCAAATCATGAATGTGTTGCTTGTGTGAGTCCATATCAAATAGGTAAAGAAATAATAATAAGACTTACTCACAATCAATTTAATTTAACAATCTGACGACCGGTTTCGCTTTCTATAATTTGCAAAGCATCTTCAGGTCGAGATACAAAGTTAAACTAATGCTGCAATAAAATAAACCCAATTAGGGTGGTGTCTCATAAAGATAAAATAAACAAATAAATTAGTTCATACAAATTATAGTAATTATGCCAATATTACATGTCTGTGGTTTTCAAAATGAATAATTTGAATATATAAAAGGTATTAACAGACAAGGTAAGGCCCACAATTGGTATAAAGTAGCAATCTTATGTTGTAATAAATTAATAAATGAGCAAATAAATAAAACAAAACAAAACAAACATTACTTACATGCCGGTACTCTATTAATTGATGGATGGTAGGTCATGGTTGCAAAAATCATGTATTGTTGATTGGAGAACTTTAATGTGCTATTGCAGTTGTTTTGACAATAAACGGGAAGTTCTTGAGGAGAACAGATTTGATCCAATGAATTAGAGATAGGTATATTGTTGTTGTTTGTCAGATGAAAATGATGTTCTTTACTATTGTATTATTTAAATTATTTACACTTATATCAGAGATATATTTATTTGGAATGTGTGTTATAATAAATAAATAAGATATATTTATTTGGAATGTGTGTTATAATAAATAACACACATTCCAAAAAATATATCTCTGATATAAGTGTAAATAATTTAAATAATACAATAGTAAAGAACATCACTTTCATCTGACAAACAACAACAATATACCTATCTCTAATTCATTGGATCAAATCTGTTCTCCTCAAGAACTTCCCGTTTATTGTCAAAACAACTGCAATAGCACATTAAAGTTCTCCAATCAACAATACATGATTTTTGCAACCATGACCTACCATCCATCAATTAATAGAGTACCGGCATGTAAGTAATGTTTGTTTTGTTTTGTTTTATTTATTTGCTCATTTATTAATTTATTACAACATAAGATTGCTACTTTATACCAATTGTGGGCTGTTAATATCTTTTATATATTCAAATTATTCATTTTGAAAACCACAGACATGTAATATTGGCATAATTACTATAATTTGTATGAACTAATTTATTTGTTTATTTTATCTTTATGAGACACCACCCTAATTGGGTTTATTTTATTGCAGCATTAGTTTAACTTTGTATCTCGACCTGAAGATGCTTTGCAAATTATAGAAAGCGAAACCGGTCGTCAGATTGTTAAATTAAATTGATTGTGAGTAAGTCTTATTATTATTTCTTTACCTATTTAAATAGGATCAACTTCAGAATCCGAGTCGTCTTGGGGGTTAATAATTAGCGGTTGTGTCTCTACGGTCGCATCAATTATGTTATCAAGATCCCACATTTTTTGTTCTTCTTCTATTACATGTCTTACTGCATCTTTCCAGTTTTGTACTGTAATATGTTGTAAAGACTCGTATAGCAATTCACGTACAGCTTGTATTTTATATGACGTATTTTTTCTAGCCACATAACTTTTCATTTGTACCCGAATGAGTTCAATTGGATTTATTTCGCAGTGGTAGGATAGACGTCTAAGGACTGTGATGTGTCGCCTTTCCGCCATTTTGCCAACTACGTATTTCTTGAACTTAGATTTGTGTTGCCGAACAATTTTTTACTTATTCCGCAGCCAGTCAAGAATATCCTGTTTCTTACACGCAGTCGTTGGAAGTCTTTCTACTAGTCGTGAATGATAAGATGCATTATCTAATACTATAATTGAATTTGGTGGTATGTGTTCTATCATCTGCTCAAAATACTCTTCGAAAAAATCATCTGTCATCTCCTCGTGATAGTCTTTTATGCTTTTGGACTGAAATTCCAACAAACCATGCCTAATAAATCCTTTTTCACTGCCAATGTGAGAAATTATTAATCTACTGCCTTTACCAGAAGGTGGAGAGATTCCAGTAGACCAACTTTCTATACAGGCTTGCCTGGAGCTTAATATATTTTTATCTGACCAATTTTTTTTAGAATATGACCTGAGTTTACCCACGTTTCATCCTGGTAGAAGATTGGCCTTCCTTCAGCCCGGAAGTTTCGTATGGATCTTAGATAATTTCTTCTCCAACATATTATCTCCTCCCGGTCAATCAAAAGTGATTTTCGGTCTGATTTCTCCAACCGGAAATTTAATTCTTTTAAAACTTGCCACAATTTAGTTCGTCCGATATGAGGCATAACCGGGTCGTCTCTAACTTCTTGTAAAATGTTGTTTAGGTTTGGTATTTCTTTTTTGAAAAAAATCCATGAATTTTCCTTCGAATACCATTTTTGCAAATTCATCAATTTCAATAGACTTTTTCCCTTTCTTTAAGTGTTCGTTTGTGTTTGGGTTAGCTATACCGTGTTTTTTTCTTTCTGATAGGAATCTATATATAGTTGACTCCCATACGCCAGTCATGTTGGCACAACTTTCGACTGTTGCGAACAGTGTTTGTGGGATTCTGAGAAACCAGAGCATTGTGAACATTCAGAACAATAGTCTTATCTCTTAGTGAATAGACAGACTTTCTGACTGTACGCAACAGTACCGGTGTAAAACTTGATGATGTTGATGATGAAGCCATCACAAACAATCCAACGAAACGAGCACGAGCGAAAGGTACTATATGTTCGTAGGTATATGGAATAAAAAATCACTCACGCACTGCATATAATTCGCAAAAGAAGTATTCGAGACGCTAATTACTGCCGTAGACGCGAAAACACCGACGAGCCATAAATTACATGCGATCAAAAACGTACTAAACAAAAAAATTGTTTTCGTTCGTAATAACTTTACTCTTTCAAGCTAAGTTTCGAATATAAACTGAACAGACGAGGCACGTGGGCAAAGCCAGCATCTTTATACCCATTATATTATTAAAAATCTGGTTTAAAAAAGTTGTTTGATGACTCAGGGTACGTAAGAAAAATAAGTATATTAAGAAGTCTAATTTGAACGCTATTGGAACATAACAGTTCAATGGGAAGTTATGTGAACCAAAAAACCTGATCCTTTTTCACCAACGATATTGATGATCGAACATTCGGGAATTATGTAAAGTTATCTTTAACATAATTACTATTTAAATGGGAATAAGCCACAATTAAAGGTTAAAGTACGTTTGTATTTTGACAATGATTTCCGAAGTGGAAATTGAAACGTCAATAAACGTACTTTAACCTTTAATTGTGGCTTATTCCCATTTAAATAGTAATTACTTTAAAATGCAACAAGAAAATAGCTTCAGAACAAATGATATTTAACAACTGATCATAGTAACAATTGTATTAGAGATAAATTTCCTTATCAGAGGCCAATTGATAGTTTAACCAGACCAGATATATATATATATATATATATATATATATATATATATATATATATATATATATATATATATATATCATTTACAGTCAGTTTCTTGAGCTAATTTAAAAATGTATATAATGAAACTCATTGAAAATGTGTAAGTAGAGTATTGAGGTATTTAAAAGATACTATTTATTATCTGATTTACTCAAAAGATGATTCAGAATTACAAGCAATACATTAGATCGTAGATCCTTTACTAGTATTTTACTGTACTACGTTTTTAAAGTTTGTGGCTCTGCAATATCTTGGTAAAGTCTAAAACAAAAAACGCCAGCTTTAACTAGTTGCATGGCAGAATATATTTTATGGCCTTGTTAGAGGCTGCTAAAGAGACAGTCTTAGGGGTTTGTTAAGTGATTTAATTAAAAAAGCTGAATGTATTACTTTATTTAACGATAATATTAAAGTGCATTACATTTATCAGGAAATTCAATTTATCGTAAAAAAAAATAAGCATATTAATGTAAGATATCATATTTTGAGAGACCTAATGCAGAATTATTAATGTAAAATGTATGCCTACTGATATTGTTCTGAAGCTATATTATTGTGGCATTTTATATTAATTACTATTTAACTGAGAATAAGCCACAATTAAAGGTTAAAGTACGTTTATTGACGTTTCAATTTCCACTTCGGAAATCGTTCTCAAAATACAAACAGTAAATTAAAACAAATTTTGTTTTTTTGTTACTTAGTGAAAAATTCTTCTAATATGTAATTTAATTTTATCTGACTCATTTATATTGACAATTCAGACATACATTATGCATTTTAAAGTAGACGACTTTAAAATGATGCCAATATTGTTGAGTTGCGCTCCTGGGACGACTTTACTTATAAGATAGTTCATTCGATTACATGAAATCAACTTTAACTTGAGAATAGCCGTCAAAAAAAATCATTGCATGTAATTCGTCTTTAGAAAGACAAACACATGCCATGATGACAGTGAAATTCTCCTGTTAGTGATTCCATAGTAAATTATGAGGGAAAAACCAGGAAAAAAACCTCATAATACTATCTCGACATGGTAAGTATTTGGTCGTGCATTTAGTTACCTCCAATAATTACCAAATTCTGATTTTATATGTTTGTTATTTAAAAAAACATAAATAATGTATCCTCTATATGTTACTGACTTACTAATACCATTGATTTAAACAATGCTAATACTGGTATTTTCTTATTAATAACTTCCTCCTTCAATATAGGTAACCAGATCCTACTACATTCGCCGAGGAATTTGCGACACAATTGGTCTCATTTGGCATAATTAGAGCCGCTTCTTTGATTTTTCTTTTTACCATCCGTTTTTTTTAGGACTACATTTGAATTATTCCATTGAACCCTATGTTCATTATCCCATGCGTGTTTACATATTTGAGATCTATAATATAATCTAAACATAGAGAATTTGATAGATCTCAAATATGTAAACACGCATGGGATAATAAACATAGGATTCAATGGAATAATTCAAATGTAGTCCTAAAAGAAACTGATGGTAAAAAAAGAAAAATCAAAGAAGCGGCTCTAATTATGCTAAATGAGACCAATAATTGTGTCGCAAATTTCTCGGCAGAATGTAGAAGGATCTGGTTACCCATATTGAAAGAGGAAGTTATTAATAAGAAAATACCAGTATTAGTAAGTCAGTAACATATAGAATAACATATAAACATCATTTATGTTTTTTAAATAGCAAACATATAAAATCAGAATTTGGTGTTTATTGAAGGTAAACTAAATGCACGACCAAATACTTACCATGTCGGGAGAGTATTATGAGGTTTTTTTTTCCTGGTTTTTCCCTCATAATTTACTATGGAATCACTAATAGGAGAATTTTACTGTCATCATGGCATGTGTTTGTCTTTTTAAAGACGAATTACATGCTATAATTTTTTTTTGACGGATATTCTCAAGTTAAAGTTGATTTCATGTAATCGAATGAACTATCTTATAAGTAAAGTCGTCCCAGGAGCGCAACTCAACAATATTGGCAATATCATTTTAAAGTCGTCTACTTTAAAATGCATAATGTACGTCTGAATTGTCAATATAAATGAGTCAGATAAAATTAAATTATTAGAAGAATTTTTCACTAAGTAACAAAAAAAAACAAAATTTGTTTAATTTATTGTTTGTATTTTGAGAACTATTTCCGAAGTGGAAATCGAAACGTCAATAAACGTACTTAAACTTTTAATTGTGGTTTATTCCCAGTTAAATAGTAATTAATGCCTACTGATGTTATGCCAACTGATGTGTTGACTAAACTACCATATTTCGAGGTACCTCGAATGGGATACAAAATAATTTGATCGAGTACGTGGTAAATATTATTATGCAAAATATCAAAAAGAAATAAAATAAGCACAATTTATTTTCATTGCTATAAATGAAACTATAACTATTGCCAATTTAAGTCAGTTATCGGTTGTTCTGCGATATATCAAAAATAATGAGGAAATACAAGATCGCTATTGTGGATTTTTGGACATAGCTGCAAATAGATCAACAGAAGATATATATAGTTAAGGAACTGAACTGTGGCTCCAAACTTGTCGTTCAAAGTTATGATCAAGCTGCCGTAATGGCTGGGCACTTGGGAGGACTTCAAACAAAAGGCAAGGAGAAGTCTCAAAACGCAATTTTTGTGCACCGCTTTGCACATAGGCTAAATTTAGTTCTAGCGCAATCGACCGCACTCAATAAGATTGGCAAAGTATTTGTCGCTGATTTTTTCTAAATTGTCTAAAAGGACACATGCTTTAGATGTCAGTTACAGAAGGTCATTTACAGATTTAGAAAAACAGTTTTTCAATATCGACAATCCCTAATAGAGTTATTTAAAAGCATTTTGGAGCATAAAGACCGTTGGGACCCTGATACTGTCAATTCTTCAAGAGATTAACTGGAATTACTCAAACAAGATTCTTGCAAGTATTTTCTGAAATATTTCCTTATAAGTACAAACATTTTATTTGATGTATTGCAGACTAAATCGAATGATATTGGATTTTGTATTAAAAAATTTTGTTATAATAATAATAATTGTTATATATATATATATATATATATATTATTATAATAATAATAATAAGACCCTCAGGTCCAAAACGACAAATGCCGATATGGATGCCAAGCCCAAGAAACTATACAACATCTTACCGGAGGCTGCCAGGCATTTGCTGCAACTGAATATAAGAAACGGCATGACTCAGTAGGGAAAATCCTCCATCAAGAGATAGCCTTTAAACTGGGACTTCTACAAACAAACCATCTCCCATATTATCAATACGTTCCTGAGAGTATGCTGGAGAATGACAACTACAAGCTATACTGGGATCGCACTGTGCTCACAGACCAAACTGTAGCACATAATAGACCAGATCTCGTGCTAGTTATCAAACTAACAAGACAAACAACTCTAATCGATGTGGCGATACCTAACAACAATAATCTGGGTGTTAAGTACAACGAAAAGATCGCCAAGTACAGAGATCTGGAAATACAAATAAGAAGACAATGGAGAATGGAAAGTACCCAGACGATACCTATTATTCTTTCTACCACTGGAGTCATTCCGAAGAACCTCCTAGAAAACATAAAAAAGCTGGGTCTAAATGAACGTCTATATAAGGTCATGCAGAAAGTTGTGCTACTTTCGACGTCCAGATGCGCGCGAAAATTTTTAGGAGATACACCGACGTACCAAGTCACCTAGGACTCGATAACATGGAAAGAGTCCCACCAGAGCTCAATCCTTTTGATACCGTAGGTATCTGGGATGAGTGAATTTTCCCCTTATAGGGAGTGTGAGCCGTATGGCTAAATCTGGATAATAATAATAATAATAATAATATGTTAAGTAATAAATATATCTGACTATGTCATTAAATTTTCATAGGCTAGGATGTCAAGGCCGTACTCATAAGCAGTACATACGTATGTGCTGAATCTAGTTATCAACTGATCTATAGCTAGATTCCATGAGATAGGAGGTGAGACTACCCTATTAACAACCTTAGGCTACCTGTGTTGATACTGTATCCCCCAGTGACGTTGCATATATCACAAGGTAGTAAGCTTCAAAATGCAGTCTTAAAGAATAGCAAGGAAAGAGAAAGCAAAAGGTGACAAATAATGGAAGGGAATAAAAAAGAGAACCGCAGCAGTAATAAAAAGTGGTTTTGAATTATGACGCTAAACCTAAAAGTAATATTAACTAGTTTGTAGTCTATTAGTTCATTAGAGAGTGTCCTAAATAAGTTTAATCACGAACCTTATTTTATGACTCTCTTCCACCAATTCATCGTAAGTCAAATCCACAGACTTTAGAGATCCATTATCCATATGAAAGTCCCCAGCTGGAAAATGATGTGCAGCTATTGAAAAATTACTCGAAACTCTTCTTTCGGAATGTCTCATCAAAGCTACGTACTCTTCTCTTGCAGATTTGCACTTATTAATGACCATTTCAAACCTGTCTTGAAGCCAATGTATCACGTCGTAGCAATTTTCCATCTGATCTTTATAGCGATTTTCTACATTTTCCACTTTGCTAAACGGGTTTTTTTTCACTTTGGAGACCGTAAATTTCGAAACTGCATTTTGAAGTTCACCATTTAGCTTACTTTTAGCGACAAATGTAAGGCAATCCTTTTCGTGTAACTCTAAAAAGGTTCGGTAGAAAAGACTCAAAGAAGCTAACTTTCTTCCTTCGACAATATCCATTATATCTTCATTTTCAAGATGGATATTTATAGGTTTTAACCAGTGAATAAGGTAATTCTGGAAATTACTCAAACAAATATCTTTAAGCTCAGATTTCTGGATCAAATACAGCTGGTCGTCGTTGATAATTTCATAGCTTCTGAGAATTTTGCTCAACAGGTAACCATCCCTAGTTACATCACAGAAGACCTCCGGATTTAAACTGACTAGTACGCCTAGTTTTTCTTGGATCCATTGGGTGACAATTTCAGCCATGGTTATTTGTTGAAAACGGTACACTGACAAATTATTTTCCTCTACTTTTAATATGACACATTTGAATTGTCACGATATCTATATTATGTCATGTTTCGTCGTAGCTAATTTGAGGTTAGGTTTCGACATACTTACTTGTGATTTTGGCATTTAAAATAAAGGATAATAATAATAGTCTCCCTTTGTATCGCTAGCATGGCTAGCATAGCTCTTTGGGATTATAGCAGGGTAGTAGCTATTTCTCAGGCCTACGGAAGGCGACAGAGCAAGTGTTACGCTTCAGCCTCCTATCATTACCCCTGGTTTTACCAGGTACTCATTTCCTACACAGGCTCAGTCCTCTTGGGGCCTTCAGATATTTTTTTAAAAGTTTTCGACGGCGCTAATTCGCTAATTTCAATTGCGTGTATTATTTCAGATTGATAGAATACATAAACTAAAAATTAATAACAGCATTTATTACTTTATACTTTTGTAATACACCATACACCCATAACAAAAAATTGAAGGTATGTCTTCGCAGAACCGTTTAACATAAAGTACATGAATAATAGTTGTTTTCTATGGAAATGAAAGTTTAAAAAAATGTTGGTAGTTTTTAGTCGCAATACCAGTGATCTAATCTATAGTAAGTTAATTATCATAATATTACAATCACAATTTAATTAAAGCAATAATATCACAATATATTATAAACAACAACAAACATTTCCACGTTGTGTTGTCCTGCAGCTGGCGCCGACTTTCGTGGTGGCGCAGTTGCCGGATTTACTTTTATCAAATAAGTTGTTTTAAATACAGTTCTTTGACGGTATTCACATAGTGGAACTTTATTGATCAGAGGTTCTACGTTCTGAAACTGTTTTCTTGTCGTTTTTTTTTCATTAAATATCCCAATTAAACTGAAGAAAATCAAACATAAAGAGTAGGTAAAAACTAACCTCGAGAAACTTAAACATCCAGAAGTATAAGGAGGGATCGAGAAAATACTCAATATTCTCAAAGAAAAATTCAGTGAAACATTTACAGAATCAGTACAGGCAGTTGAGAGTATTTGGCACACTTTCCAAAGTAACAGTCACAACCATACAAATCGAAAAACTACAGAACAACATCAGAAATACAAATAATACATTCATGCTAGAAGAAATCGCTGAGCTGATCGAAATACAAAAGACAAAATGAAGTGAAATATAAGAAAACTAGGGAATCATCAGAAAAGCGAAAGAAGCATGGATAAACAGCAAGTGTGAGGAACCGGGGGATTTACTAAAAAAATATGGCAACTTTAATGTATACAAAAAGACAAATGAAGTTACAAATATGAAGAAAAAATTTACTACAATAACTCTAGTAGATAATGACAATCAAGTAGTTTCTATCCCAGAAAATGAAGCAAACATGTAGGAAAAATACAACCAAGATCTCTTTGAAAACGAAAGAACAGAACCACAAATGGATACAGTACAAGAAACAATACTTAATACATTAAAATCAGAAGTTACATAAGCACTTAAAAAACTTAAAACTTCTTTGAATTATACAAAATATACTAGGATCCGGATATCGAAACATATATTAAAATAAGACGGCTGCGTTGGATGGGACATCCGGAAAAAATAAAAGATGGCGAAACACCAAACAAAATAAACAAACAAGTACCAGTAGGAAAAAGAAAAAGTGAAAGGTCGAAGCTGAGAAATTTAGATTTAAAAATAAAAAATGATTCTGCGACAGGCCATGACCCAAAAAGGGTTGTGATCATGATGATGATGATGATGATGATAATAAAACTTACCAATGAAGTAAACCTTCAGGCCTTAACACTATATCTAAACAAAATATATACCACCGAAATCATCCCAGAAGACTGGCTTAATGCTTCAGATTCATAGTCTGATGAGCCACGTTTTGAAGTGCATACACGTATAGCATTTATCTTACTTACCGTCAATTGATAAACAGATCTTAAGCAACCAAACTGGTACAGAAGTGATAAGGGACCAATGAGATCTAACGATATGAAGTTGAAACGGAAAATCAATCCGTCGATAACTACCCATTAAACCTGGTTGGGGAAGATTTGTCGTTTGCATGTAGCACAGATTTTGCATTTAGCGATATAGCTACGTACAGTTTGACGCATCTTCGGCCAGTAATAAAGTTCAGATATTCGACGGAAAGTTTTGTAGAAACCAAAATGAGCTGCAGTAGGATGGTCCTGAAAAGTGGCCAAAACCTCTGCTCTATTAGGAGTTGGAACGACTATCTTCCAATCCGACATTCCAGTAAGGGCATCCATGGAACTTAAGACATGTTTATACAAAACACCATGTTCAACTTTAAAATCAGGAAATTTACCTGGTACATTCTGTACATCATACAACATTTTTCGATACCAGTCATCTGGTTGTAAGGAAGATAAGTCTAACAAATTAATATCGAAAGTTCTAGAGAGTGCATCAGCGACTACTACACCTGAAGCTTTACGATGAACAATTTTATAATCGTATTGTGCCAATTTTAAAATCCACCTAGCCAAACGAGGAGATGGGTTCTTCATACTTTGTAACCACACCAAACTACTATGGTCAGTTATGACCGTAAACGAACGACCTTCAAGAAAATATCTAAAATGTTCAATACCCGTAATTATAGCTAACAACTCTTTTTCAGTTGTAGTATAATTTTTCTGGGCTTTATTTAATTTCTTGCTGGTGTAGGCTATAGGGTGTTCTTCTCCATCAACAATTTGATAGAGTACCCCACCAGATGCTGTGTTTGAGCAATCTGTCATCAGATAAAAAGGCTTAGTAAAATCTGGGGCTACCATAACAGGAGAATTTGTGAGAGCCTCGATTTTAATGAAAGCTTCATTAGCCTCAGGAGTCCACACAATATTTTGTCCCTTTTTCCGATTTTGAAGTAAATCTGTGATAGGAGACAACAAGGTAGAATAAGACTTGACAAATTTTTTATAATAACCCACCATTCCTAACAATCGACGAACCTGAGTGGTATTTTTAGGCACAGGAAAATCACGAATAGCTGATACCTTATCGGGATCAGTACGAAGACCCTGAGAATCTACAACATATCCTAAAAACTTAATAGACTCACGACAAAAGCTACTTTTATCTAAGTTAATAGTCAAATTTGCGTCTTTTAAACGCTGAAACAACTGCTGCAATACAGAGATATGAGTTTTGAAATCGGGAGTAATGACAAGAATGTCATCAAGATAGTATTGGCAAAATGGATCTAAAGCAGGACCAATTACCAAATCCATTAACCGACACATAGTCTGTGGAGCAGACACAAGACCAAAAGGCATTGTAGTGAATTGGTACAATCCTTTTCCATTGACCGCAAAGGCAGTGAGCTTTTTACTCTCTTCGCTGAGAGGAATCTGTAAAAACGCCTTCTTCAAGTCAATAGATGAAATGAATTTAGCATTCTGTAACTTACTCAGGATGATATCTATACGAGGTATAGGATACGCATCTCTGTTCATAGTTATACTGTTAAGTTTACGTCCGTCAAAACAGACACGAAAAGTCCCATCTTTCTTTTTTGTCAGCCACAAAAAAAAAAAAAAAAAAAAAAGTTCCTAAAGTTCCTTTTTTTTTTGCTGGAGATGAGGGAGAATGTAGCGTTTACGCTATTGATTAACCCCTTTAGAAATTTTTATTACCCGCTTACGATCGATTTTGAATCGACATTTTCCCCCACACGCGCTGTTATCGCTTTGAAAGGAAGATCGATTTTGTGCGGAAGCGAAGCGGTTAGTTTTGGTCAGAACTCGTTAACGCAGACACGCCAACCGGTGAAATTGTTCACCTTCAAAGTGACGGAATTGGAGCAAGGAAGATAATTTGGGGAAGAATAAATTAATTTATAAATAAAATACATATCTTAATAATAATAAGTAAAATAATAAAATCAATATTCATTTATGAGTTCCACATAAAAAGGAAGAGTTTTTTTGTTGGCGTGCTGCGAGCTCCATGTAAGTAAATCATTTAATACGTATTATCTCCTTATCATATAATCAAATTTATCATTGTATTTAGTATTTCTTTAGAGATTTATTTTTGAGTTCCGAAATAATTTAAATATAAAATTTCCTTGATTTACTTGCAAAGAACAGAAGGTCATTTTTTTTATATAGTTAAACTTAAATTCTGTTTTAGTCCACGTCGTTACCATTAAGTTTTTTTTTGGTTCTTGTTTTTACCTAACTTTTTTGGTGGAATATAAAAGGTTCTACAAATGTGGACAGCCTTCTATATTCTGCGCATGTTTATTTCATGGCGCAAGCTTGCCATGCCTACGAAAGTAACTTCATAAATTTGACATGATGTTGACTTAACCTAATACCAAATGTTTTGATGTTTTGTTTTGGTGCAGTCAATCCATGCTGCTACACCTATTAAATTACATATTTATTAAATTAAATAATCATTTTAGATTCCGTCACGTGAAAATATTAATTTCACTTTACTTGAGGATATTCTCTTCAGAATATTCCCTCAAGGACTCAAGTAACTAAATTTCTTGAATAGTTAGCAAACCCGTGGATTTTGCTGTCACCCAGAGACCAGTGACTGGTTGTGGTTTTGTGCCCAGGATTCGTCTTTACAGCCATAAACTGATGTAACCGTGCCAAGAGGAATTTTCCTATGGACTTATGGGGCTGTAAAGATAAGTTGTTTAACTATTTGACGTTTTGTGTTACTTTCTATTTACTGTTTAACTTTTGTTACTTCCTATTTAGTAGTATACCCTCTTCATATGCATATGATAAGGTGAATACCTTTTTTTTTGATAATTTAATTTTTGATAATTTAATTATAAAATATTCGGGAGGAAAAAGGGACACTTCATGTTTAATAGGTTTTAGTTAGGATTTCAAGAGTCTGACCGAACTCACTTGTTGATTTAATATATATTTTTTTTAATAGAATAATTTTTGATATAATACAATTTTGATTTTGGGAAGGGAAATAAATTTCATGTGGTTTTTTTTTTAAACAGTATATAAAGAGTATTGAAGACTCATTTTTTGGATATAATATAATAATTGTAACAGGGTTATCATTGTTGATATCTGTACAATACGGTAATTATTTCTCATATTAGTAGAACTAGTTAAATTTAAATTACTACCTTTTTGTGTTAAGACTTTGGCTATGATACGGACTATTCTTGTTGTATACTAATATTTCATATTTTATTTGGCCAGTGGTAGTGACTATTCGTTTGTTGAGTGGCTATTAGGTCCCATTGTATCTGTACACCATCCACTACCACTGTTTTTTGGCTTTGCATTATATGTAAATTGTTTATACACATATACCTATATACATTTTTTATAAATATATTTATTGTTGCTATTTTGAGTTTTATTTCAGTTCTACTAACCAGTATATAACATAGCAAAATAAGATTATTATTTAGTATTTTTGTATTTCAGAGTATTATCTCCAGATTCATTTGTTACTTCAAAATCTCAACTATCGTTGAGTTGGCGCCCTTCTTTTCTCTTCTTATTGTTCTCTTTCTATAAATTTATTCCTAGTGACCTTCTTCAGTTGTATCACGTTTGATATTACCAGGTCTCATTTCTTTCTTGTCTCATTAGCTCATTATCTCTTGTTATTGTTGTTTATATCTTTAAAGCCACAATCCAGTGCATTGAAGCTAGCCCGAACACTCACTTGAGATTTAGTGTCTCTTTGGCCATTTAAATTTGTTCCTCTGAGCTTAGCCTTATTCTTAGTATTTTTAGTATTTTCATCACCTCTATTCCAGTTCTTCTGGAATTTGGAAGTCTTACACTTCCTAAAACCCAATACTCCGGAGTATTGAGCGTTTCAGTATATAAATAGAAAGCGGGAAAACTCTGAGGACAATTGGGATTATTTGCTCTCCAGATCAGCTAAAAGACGCGTTACTCTGTTTTATCGACTACAAAAAAGCGTTTTCTCTAGTAAAATCTACAAAATTCATAAGAATCTTAACGTAACATGGTATAGACCATAACACTGTGTCTCTTATTAAAAACGTGTATTAGGATCAAATGGCGTAGATTAAAATGAACGACTATCTGACAACAGAAAGGTTAATAAAAAGCAGAGTTCGTCAAGGCTGTATGTGTTACTTTCTTCACTATTCAATAAATATTCTGAAAAAGTCTTTCAAAATTCCTTCGAAAATATTTAAGAAGGAATAAGAATCAATGGAGAAAACGTAAATAACTTAAGATTCGCAGACGACACTGTCACTATTGCGGATAGTACTGAGGGTTGCAACGACTTCTGGATGTCACAACCAGAGAAGGAGATACTCTAGGACTGAAAATAAAAACAAAAGTAATAGCTGTTACACGTACACCAAATGCTGCCATTAATATTCGTATCTATAATAAACAGATAGAACGCGTACAAAGAGACCAGTATCTGACTTGCTGGATAACAAACGATCTTGACCACGTGATCGAAATACAAGCTTATATAGAATATACGAGGTCCGCTTTTCAAAGAATAAAAAGAAGTGTGGCACTCAAAGAAGTGCAGAAGACAGAAGTGAAAACTTCTTAAATTGCGTTGAAATTATAAGTATTAATTTGAGATAAACAAAATTAATATTTTTTTGTGAATATTAATCTCGTATGTAACTATACCTTCATTAATAACGAATATGCTGTGTAGTTCCCTTTTGGTAGTCACCCTGTTTGTTTTTTCTATCTTAATATATTCGTTATATCCTCCCCTTTCATTTGCTATGTCACATGTTAGGATTCGATTAGTTGCTTATTTTGTACACAGCCACAGGCCTTCTTTAAGAGTCCTATGATATCTCGTATGTAAGTATACGTTCATTAATAATCAAAATACTGTGTAGTGCCCTTTTGGTAGACGGCTTTTTTTCATCTTAATATATTCGATATATCTTTCCCTTTTATTTGCTATGTTGCATGTTCGGATTTGATCATTTTGTTATTTTGTGCTCGGCCAGAGGCTTTCTTCAAGTCAATAAATTAAAATTTGTAGCATAATAAATCTATTTTCCTCCATAGTGACATCTAACATCTCGTATGTAACTATACGTTCATTAATAACGAGCATGCAGTAGAGTGCTCTTTTGGTAATAGTCTTGTTTGTTTTTTTTTTATCTTAATATAATCGTTATCCTCTCCCCTTTCATTTAACGCATCACACGCTCCAATCGAGCTAATAACAACGGGGATATGATGTAATGCTCTTTTGGCATTACCGCCATATTTGTTTGTCTATAATTGTACTAGTTACCTACTCCCTTTTCCAACAAGACTTAATACGTCATGATCCGTCGAGCCGGTCTTGCGCTGTGCGACTTTGCGACCATTTTTCGTAGCGATGACGGTCACAAAAATCTGCCGCTTGGTCAATGCTTTTTCCTATCCAAAAAGTGCACAGCGTTGCTAAAGAAGTTTTCTCTTCAAATTCCTAATAAACTCCTTATCATTGGATATCCGATACCGATATGTAAACACATTCATTTATTAAATATTGTTATACGGAGTGGCTTATTTAGTGCCACTAAATAAGCAATGTATGGGTAAGCTGGAGGCATTTGAGATGTGGGCGTACCGAAGAATGTTAAAAATCTCCTGGAAGGATAAGATAACTAACCAAGTTGTATTAGACAGGATGAACAAACAAAAGGAGGTCGTATTGAGTGTTAAAATGAGGAAACTACAATACCTGTACACTTCCATACAATTGTTCCGAGCGGCAGCCTCCAGGGTCAAAATTGCCATGATGATAGCCAACCTTCGTAGCGGAGATGGCACGTGAAGAAGAAGAAGATACGGAGTGGAAACTGGGACTCTTGGAATTAGAGTCCCAGTATAATCCAAAGTATAATGCAAATAAAAGCGTTTTAGATGGAGTTTTTTGAAGGATGCTGAAAATCTCTTGGGCAAAGCACGAAACCAACAAGTTGGAGTGCTGAGAATGATAGTGACTAAGAGAGAACTCCTTTGTTAAAATTGTTAAAAATTGGTCCAGTTCATTACATTTAATTAGAAAATCTGGATATGGTTTAAGTAAACCTCCTTCGGAAAGATGGTTTACCCAGTAAATCGATGTCAACGTACAAGATAAACGATAAAACAATACTAAATATGACAAAACTCCATACAACACAGAACATTTCTGGTGACATTTGTCGCCAAGTGACGTCACACGACTGATCGCGTGCGCGTGGGTTTATCTTTAGTTCATAGTATCATGGACATTTCGGATGCGCGCCACGAGGTCATCGAGCAAAAAGACAAAAGATTGAATCTAATCCTTATGAAAAGGAGACCAAAAAAGTGGCCTCTGATGGCGGACATATCCGGAAATGCGAATGCGCCAAATTAAAATTTTCCCACACTTATTAATAGTAGCTATATAATATTTTTCAAAATGTGTCTTAGACGAGAAAGTTTTAATTAATTATTAACGATTATAGTCTAAAATGCGACACAATTGTTAAAAAACTTCAATATAAATAAGATTTTATGTGACATTTGGGACAAACAATAACATAACCCAACTAAACTTGATGTCAAACAAGGAGAGAGACTCTCTTTTCTTGTTTAATGTGGTCTCTAAAGATCGCACTTCCTGTCTAACAATATTTTTGCCCCCACTACCTTTACATTCCCTCTTTTGTCTTTTTGCTCGATGCACGAGGCGCACATCGGGCATCATGAGCATCATCGGGCATGAGCAGTAATTCAGCTCATCATATTCATTCTTCAGGTCATCAAAATCAATGTTAAGTAAACTGAATAGAAAAATATGTACACAAATAGAAGCACCTTATATTGCTAATAATTTGATAAGTAAGATTTTAAGCCAAAACACTAGATTGCTTTAGGCATTAAAATAGCACGTTAAAAGATAAAAGAGGATGAATAATTATTGTAATGGGAATCAGTTTCATCATTTCTTTTATTTGGTCCATCCTCCTCTAATTCTATCCTCTATACTATAGCATCTCCATTTCTATGTATTATCTTTAACAGCTATTTACAATTACCTATAACTTTTTTAAGATCATTTTGCTAAAATTTTCTTTTTCTCCTGGCATTTGTATCACTTAAATATTTTTTCAAAGAACATGGCCAATTTGTTCCTATTCTTTTTAATGTCATCCTCACTTTCTCAGTGATTTCATGTAAACCAATTGTTAAACCTTTGTTGAACCTTTTTTATTTATTGTGGTGCTAAGTATTTTTGGCATCAGTATAATTATGCGTATAAAAAAAACTGCAATTTTGTTGAAAAAAATTACATCCGACAACTCTGCTCTGTCGATTTTTACACTTGCTGCGCCGTGACGTTTGACGCACTTTATTTGTACGATAAGGTTTGAATGCGCGAACTCCTTATAAAATCTGAAACATCGCGGGAGCGACAAATCTTATTTATTGTAAGGAGAATATTTGAGTTGTGCGGTTGATAAGTTTTTTTGTGTCGTTACATATTAGCTATTTTTAAAATGTCTGCATCACCCATGGCTAGACAAGCGGTTGAAAGTAAGGCGATTCCAATTAGGAGAGTGTTAATTAATGATCATTCCGAGTTACCTGCACATTATTCCTCAACTCCCGGTGGAACTCTCTTTTCGACTACACCTGGAGGTAAGACTGACCCCGTTATTTTTCGTTTATTGTAAAATACTGAGTAACAAAACTCAACTTTTATTTTACAAGTCAATATTTTATAACTTATATTTATATACATACATTTTTACAGATATTCCACTTTATCTTTGTAGAAACAAGATAAATTGTTATTTAAGATATTTATTTTACAACAAATTTCTCGATACTGATGCATAGAGTTGTTGACACTTACTTAGAAATTGTAGATATTCTAAATTTCCTTCTATAACTGCTAGTTTTATGTATTTCTTGGGGTTATTGTCATCATCATCATCATCATTTTGGCTTTACAACTCTGTGTGGGTCCTAGCCTCCCCAAGAATTCTCTTCCAGTTATCCCTATCCATCGCCTTCCTCCGCCAAGCACGTATTTCCATATTTCTCATATCTTGGTCTATGTTATCTAGGAATCTTGTTCTGGGTCTTCCTCTTCTTCTTTGACCAATAGGTCTATGAAGGAGCGTTTTTCTAGCTGGATCGGTTTGCTCCATCCGCATTACATGGCCTACCCACCTCAGATGTCTCATCTTAATGTGTTTTACGATATTTGGTTCTTGGGGTATTGTGCTGTCCCAAATTGCAAGTATATCCTAAAGTTCATGTTACCAAATGATGTTATTTCTAAATCAGTAGCTTAATATGGAGTAAATGTATTAATATTGACCACTACTTGGTTATAAAAATGCTTAAGTATTGATTGACTGATTTGAAAACTTTTGCGTTTTCAGATCTGTTATGTTTTGATATAATACGACAGTATATTTTAATATTCTTCTTTCTTACATTATGCAAGACACTGCGTGTCTCTAGCACTTGATCATAACACATTTGTTTTTAAACCTTGTTCTTTAATTAAACCAATAAGATCTTTACTCTTGTTAAAAATTTTAGAGTTTAAGATATCATATCAATAAGATTTTACATTAATGAGGAGATTTCTTCCTTCATTTCGCATATCCTGCACCATTGTTCATTCACCATTCACCCTCCCTAAGTTGTAGAGGTCTTTTCAAGGTTACAGTGTCCAGACAATATCTCAGCGACTTTCTTAAACTGGTCGAAAACCTTCTGTCAGTGTTTCATTTAAATTCCATTTCTAAGGAAATTTTTGGTAACGCCACAGAATACGTTTGGGCTTTAAAGATTCTCCTCTAAAGCAGGTTTTTCCAAACTTTTTCTTTGTCGAGCCTCCCAGGATCTAGATTCATCCTCCCCTTATATTGTTCATTCTTTCGTATCCGAAACATACATCCTATCAATCATAAAATTCATATTTTATTTCCCATAACTGTGTAACCTGTTTTTTGTGGTCTTTGTAAGCAAAAATATCTTCAAAATTACATACACGGTTCATTTCTGTACAGACTAACAGATGATTTAAAGTAGGCATCTCTCAGTTATAGTCATAACAACCATCAACAGCATAGGTCCAAGGTTCAATTTTCAATTGACTTTGATACCCTATTCCTGCAGTTTGATATCCCTCCTCTCAGTTGATTTAGAGTGTCATTAGACTGTACTGGTGAACAATTTTACGGGAGGCCTACGTTCAGCAGTGGACAAATATAGGCTAATTTATGATGATAATGATTAGACTGTACGACTGTAGATAAATGTTGTCTGACATAATCTCTCCACAGTGCACATTTTAGAATTAAATTTATGGGTTCAAAGAAAGTTCAAAGCAATTATCTTAATTGAATATTTTATTTTGGTAGAGAGTACAGGAAGTATATTATATAGTAAAGTAATCAAAACCCTATCTTGAATAAACAATTGTTTTGGTTTCTCCACTGACCCTTCTTTCCTTGCAATAAATTGATTCTCTGTTCTGAAACGTTTGGTTGATGAATTGACGATGCTTGAAAGTAAGATTTAAAACTTGTCTTTAGTGTGGGATATATCTTGGCATGTAATGTGCGATGGTTTATCATGTCATACGCTGCAGAGCCACGAAGATAACTGCAGTGACCATTATTTTTTTCAATAGTTTCAAAACGTGGCTTCAACAAGATTTTCAAGGTTTTAAATTAAGTTGTTCCGAGATGATCCTTTCTCGAAACACTAGGTAATTCTCCAAAGAGGCATCCATTCTCGAAACACTGGGTAATTCTCCAAAGAGGCATCCTTTCTAACAATTTTTAGAGATTGCGTAGTAGCAACACTGAGCTAAAGTTTTTTGGCTCTGATAGGCCAGTTAAGGAGCGCGATTACGTGGACTTTTCTCCAAAGTTCTCTCTGCACATTACACTGTAATAAACCCAACCACAACAAAATAAAAAAGTATTGGCAATCTGTCTAGTACAGCTCTTCTACTACATTTAGTCGTTCGGAGCCAAAGTTAAACTATGGGTCCTGTAAATCTGTACACTTGTACACCCAAATGTGGATATGCACATTAATAACAATGTTAATTTTATAAAAATATCTTTTGATAATCTACAAGATAAGCATGTATCGCAGTCTACATCGCTACATATAAATCTATATCATTGGAAAAGGTAAAAATGTTTCTGCAGGCATTTATACATAAGTAAAAGGCATATCTTATATTCATTTATGTTTACATGCTCGCAGATACATTTTTTGTAGTTTCCAAGTCTCGGAAGTGGTGCGTATTTCTGTTTATCTACTCAATTCGCAACTCCCACATCCTTTTAGTTTTTTTTATTTCCAGTTCATTTGAAGTGTCCGTCTTCATTTCATATCATTTATCACCATAATTTTCTTTGTTTTATCATTTCTATATTATATTCGGCGGTCTAGAGATGAAAGATGCACATGGAATATCAGAAGTCTTTTTGCGGCTGGAAAACTTTAACAATACTAATGTTTGTATCTTGAGAACGATTTCCGGAATGGAAATTGAAACGCCAATAAACGAACCTTTAAAAAAATCACTTCTAAAGATGTAAACCAGTTGTCTGCTGTTACGTTACGGTTAGAACACTCAATACATTTTACTAGACGAAGAACTGATTGCGTTGGTTTGTAAAATTTTTTTTTCTCTTCTAACAATGTTTGGCCATCACTTCCAGCACCTGTATATACATACCCATCTAAACAGTAATGAGTTCGGGCGTCAGTTAGTGCCATTATCTTTAAGCCATATTTTAGGGGTTTTTGAGGCACGTACATGCGAAATGAACATCTTCCCCGACAACCAATGAGCATTTCATCAATACAAACATGCAATAAAGTTTTTGCTGTTTTCTACAAACTTATTGAAAATTAATTAAATAGGGGCAAGTTTTTCGGTTTTTTTTACGTTCTTTTCTTGTAGTTTCGTCATCAAACCTAAGGGCTGTCAAAAGTACTAAGAATCGTTTTACTGACATGGTGCATCTAAAAATGTCTACCACTACCGCCGGTGGCGAATATCGAACTCAAGTTTTCGGTATTGGATTTAAATATGGCTGAGTAAAATAACAAACCGATAAACGCTCTCAGTTCAATAATGTCTAAATCTTTTAGATCCGTTCTATTACTATCGGTATATTTCGTTCTAATCCTGGCAAGTTTTTCATTTGTTCTAAGAACAGTCTCTTCTAAAATATGGTTTGTTATTATACATTCCCAAGCACTTTTCTGGACACACAATGTCCCAAGAGACTTGGCTGGCCCAATAACCCCAGGACGATTAGAGATAATGTTGAAACTTCTTGTTCTTACATTTGAAGGTGGAGCTTCTGCAGTCGATCTTTGCCATAGTACGTTCTCGAAGGGCCTGGAGTTTGTTGCTGCTTATGTGGATCAGACTCCGAATTAACCTCTGAAGGTGCTGCATTTTGCGAGATATTATCTTCAACATCCAATAGAGTTCCAAGGTTTCCATTCAATTTCTGAATCAGTTTCGTGTTCGCTGACATAATCGGGATCATTATCTGAGTCATCGTTACCGCTGAAATCACTCTCATCCGCGTCTAGAATACTTTGAGCCCATTGTTCAAACCTAGGATCATCGGAATCAATTTTATTATATCGTGACAGGTCCATTTTCAACTGAAAATAAAAAAAAAAAACTAATTATTAAAAAAAACGTAACCGGTGAGGTGGGGTCAAAGTGTCCCCACGGCGCAGTTATTTTCATATAATTTGTAAACATTTACCTATTTGCTCACGACTATCCCGCTTGATATAACGCAACACACTGACGGAAAGATTAAGCAGAGAAGTGATCTGTGGAACTAACGAACACAGTGTTCGTAGTTCTCTGGATAAAGGTAGAAGTGGTAAATAAGCTAGGACTTATGTCACTTTAAAAATCTGTTGGGGCTCGTATGACCCCGCTTCACCAGTTACGGGTCAAGAGTATTTTTTTGGGCCATTTTGCTGTTCTATATATTTTATCATTTTGCAAGCGATCAATTTGACAAAAATAAACTTTTTCCATATAGAATAGTGGAGACTACTAAAAAAGAATTCTCCAAATTCGCGCCATCTCCATATTGGCCTATGTAATGTAGTTATTGAAGAATCCTATTACATATTTACAAATCCGCCGGTATAATAAAACACCGGTAAAGTCAGAGTACGATTCTGTTTTCAATTTCGACCCACGTGTAACATTAAAATTCGCAGCCTTGAGTTTACCGCAAAACGTTGGCAGCTCAACGTTTATATAATAAGCTCCAACATTTTTTAGCAAAATATTATTCATGTTGGACGTTCACATTTTGTTGTTTAGTGTTTACCACTACTACGCAGTAGTTTTCGTTATAAATTCTCATAATTTTATGTAGTTTTCAATTAACCGTTATCAAAAAACACGCCACTAGAGATATCCACTGACAAAGGGTGATAAATTTTGTTTTTTATCGTAAATTTTTTTGTGTTATTTTCTATAAAAACAAAACTGCAATTGATAATTTTGATAAGAAAGTTACTACGCCGCAATGAAAATGTCAGAATGTGGAAAATATTTGTTTTCAAAACGCATTACTTAATTTTCTGCGTACACCTATACATAAAAGTATAAAGTAATAATAATAATAAAAATACCGACTACAAAGAACCAAAAAAGCACTAGGGATGACACAAAACATTTTCTTCTTCTTCTTCCTTCTTGAATGTAGGCTTTAAAGTCTGTTTCTTCTTCAATATTAGCCTCCTAAATTGTTTAAA